GTAGCCTCTATATAAGATACTTAAAGAGTGGATCCCATAAGTAAAAACTTTGTTTCCCAAGGATTATGAAGCTACTCTAACAAGCGCAGGACTATTCTAATAATATAATTCTTTGGGCATAATATATGCGTATAGTATATATTACTTTCTTTCAATCGATTTTATATAGATTTTAGTCTCTAGGAGACATCGAATGTATATAAACTGTAAAAATGGTTGATTTTGTCGAAATTTTCATTTTTTAAATAAAAGATTGAGGTACGGACCTCGAGTCAGCTAGTCAAATATTTTATAAACTATGTATAGATAAACTATAAAAATGTATATAAATATATCTATTTATATATATAGTATGAAAATAGATTTATGTAATTTGTTTGAGAAATTTATTCCCTAATTATATGATATTATATGCAATTTTGTGCATAATAATCTTATAATTCGCAAGTGGTTTATTTGCACAGTTTGTCTATAATAAGTAATTCAGTAGTTCATAGTTGCCCTTCGCATAATCATAATCTTCATTTTCCCTTTTAACACTATACCTATAGGGCACTATCTTTAGCTACTTCCAAAAGATCTTTGCATGTGTTTAAGATTCGATTCTTGATAATTATAATATTTATTGTGGGATGGATTCTGCGAAGTTTCCTTCGCTTTCTTTTGCAAAGCATTCTTGCCAGTAGATTGGGGTGAGCAGAGAGGAGCCTTAAGGAACCTTAAGATCTCTTGCCTGGGCCTGATTGCCCGGATGTGCCAAGGTGCAGCAGTATTTAGACTGAGAGCTTTGGCTTGGGAGAAACTTAGTTTGCTGCAATGCGATTTTGCTACTGCTCCAAAGAGGCAAGTTGGGTTTTATACTGCAGAGTCTTGTTGTTCAGAGGAAGCCTGCGGAAGCTTGAGATTTGACTTCATTTCATATCTATAGAATAATCCAGCTGACAATATATGTATGTATTATATTCTTCGAGCTAAGACGACTGTTCCCTGAGAACTCGTCTTTCTTTCGAGCTGGCTCGACGGAACTTAATACAGAAATTGATTCTTAGTTCTTAGTTTATGATGTTAAAATGAAATTTTGTAATGCAATATTTTGGATTTTTTTGTCAACAAGCGACTTGTGCCTTGAAAAGTCACAGACGTTCAGCTTTAAAGATCAGATTAAGCTGTCTTTGAACTGTTTGACAAGTTGGGAACCTCACGCTGATTAGCCAAATACGTACACAGGTGTGTGCTAGCAATTGTTTTGGGAGTTTTGCCAATTTGAGTGTTACACAGATATCGCGATAAAGTCGGCCATAACTAATGCCCACTTCAACGTTTTTCGGAATCAGAATCGCCTCGGCATCGAGTGCTATGAGTGAATGTCCAGCCAATCCCAGCTGGTAGATAATTGGGCAATCGACTGCCCCAACCGGCAGATATTAACAATCTTATCTAGCGTAGATAGCCGCAATTGGTATAAATATCAGTCTGAGCAGCTCGTAACAATTAGTCGAACTCGAGTAGACAACCACTGAAAATATGTTAAAAGCAATCACAGTAATCGCTGTGATCCTGGCACTGGCCAGCGCCGAGCTGCACCGCGTGCCCGTCCTGAAGCAGGAGAACTTTGTGAAGACTCGCGCCAATGTCAGGGCCGAGGTATCCCATTTGCGGGCCAAGTATCGCCTGCCGACCGCACGTAGCGTCAACGAGGAGGAGCTGTCCAACTCGATGAACATGGCCTACTATGGCGCCATCACCATTGGCACGCCACCGCAGAGCTTTAAGGTGCTGTTCGATTCGGGCTCCTCGAACCTGTGGGTGCCCTCCAAGACTTGCTCCAGCTATGCCTGCGGGGTGCACAATCAGTATGACTCCAGCGCCTCCTCCACCTATCAAGCCAATGGGGAGAGCTTCTCCATTCAGTACGGCAGCGGCAGCCTGTCCGGCATTCTTGCCACGGATACTGTGGATGTGAATGGCTTGTCTGTTGGGAGCCAGACCTTTGCCGAGGCCACCAATGAGCCGGGCACCAATTTCAACGATGCCAACTTCGATGGCATCCTGGGCATGGGCTACCAATCAATTGCGGAGGACAATGTTGTGCCTCCATTCTACAACATGGTCTCTCAGGGCCTGGTCGATCAGTCTGTGTTCTCCTTCTATTTAGCACGCGCTGGCACCTCCAGCCAGGGCGGTGAACTGATCTTTGGCGGCTCCGATTCGTCCCTGTACAGCGGCGACTTCACCTATGTGCCCGTCTCCGAGCAGGGCTACTGGCAGTTCACCATGGCCGGCGCCTCTGTGGAGGGCAACTCCTTGTGCGACAATTGCCAGGCTATTGCCGATACAGGCACCTCTCTAATTGTGGCACCCGCCAATGCCTACGAGCTGCTTCTCGAGATTCTCAACGTTGATGATGAGGGCCTGGTCGACTGCTCCAGCGTCAGCTCAATGCCTGTGATCACCTTCAACATTGGTGGCACCAACTTCGATCTGGAGCCCGCTCAATACATCATCCAATCCGATGGCGAGTGTCAGTCCAGCTTCGAGTACATGGGCACCGACTTCTGGATCTTGGGCGATGTCTTCATTGGACAGTACTACACCGAGTTCGATTTGGGCAACAACCGCATTGGCTTCGCCCCAGTTGCCTAAGCAGAACACACAGAACACACCCCCCGTCCCTTTACAAATAAAGTGATTCCATAGAGCATTATCTGCAGTTAGTATCAATTAATCGGACTGTAATGTTTGGTAATATTCTTTTCTTTTATCACTATCAGTTCCTTGACTCAGACGGAACTATTTTGATTTCTATAGCTCGATCATTATTTAAAATTAATTTGTTTGCAGTTTCATGTTTTATCGTTTCCCTATCTATTAGATAGCTCTACATATTTATAACTAATTAGTCAAGCGTAGCATGCAAGTGTTTCGCAATGTTCCTATAATGGGTTTCCCCTACGGTAGCCTTCTGTCAATGAAATTAAATCCAATTAAATTACATATCGTCACTCTGTGCGTCAGTTTGTGAGTCTTGAGGAAGGAAGATATTTTGTTTGGCTTGTGCCCCAAATTGATTCTGCATGCGTCATACATGTACATACATATCTCTATATATATGAAACCCCAAACCGTAAGAGCTAGCAAGCTGAAATGTTCACTGTAGGAACCTGATGTAATGAAGGTGCACGTTAAGACGGGGTTTCGGGAAACTCCATCCGCATGTATGGAAAAATCACGAAAAACGTTTGTATGAAACTTTATTGTTCAAAGATCTTTGAGAGAATTTATTTTATAGGTGCCACAGGGAAGCCCGGGCCATATTCGCAAGAATCCTATATAGACATAGGTCGAAATTTCCCACTCACATAACTCGGCCAAATTTCATCCTATTTTCATTAGGTTTGGCTATTTGTTCATGGCTTGGTCTCTTAATCAATTTTGCATCAAAATCTGAAAGCATTATTCTTAGTCAAAATTCATGTGGAAATGGTACATAGACATAGACATAGGTCGAAATTTCCCACCCCCATAACTTGGTCAAAACTCAAGCGATTTTCATAAGGCTTGGCTTTTTGTTCATGGTTCGGCCTCTAGATCAATTTGGCATTTAAATCCTGCAACATTGTTCTTGGTCAAAAATCATGTTGTATGGTGAAATGGTATCCTCAAATATCCTATGTAGACATAGGTCAAAATTTGGGAAATTTTACCCGCAACCGTGGTAATTGGAAGAAAACGGTTTTATGAAAGTATTTTGTTTACAGTCTGATCGGTTTCAAATTCATTTTCAACTATCTTTGAGAGAATTGATTTTATACGTACCACGGGCAAGGCCGGGGTATACCCGCTAGTATTCAATATATATGTTGTAAGTGTATTCTTTATGATTTCTATGGTGTATAACTCTGTTTTTGATATGATCTCGAAACATGCACTGCCTTCAGACGAAACTGTTCCTAGTCTCATCAAAATAGCTTTGATGCTGGAGAAGATGGACATGCCTAAATCGTTGTGTTTTGATATCTAATTTGAAGGTTTTTACAATATTTCGATATATTATACCATTATATATAATATACTATTATATATTGATTGATTTTTAGGGCAACTTGTTTGGTACAGTATATCTTTGGATTCTTTGTTACTATTGCAATTGTTCTATTTATAATGAAATATGAAAATAGATTATGATATGGAACGTATAATTACATTTAATTTGTTTGGCTTTCAAACCTTGTGACGCCCCCTTGGTAACCGTTGTAATATATATATATTTTTTTAAGCTTCTCACTTATCTTTAGAATGTTTTGTGTCTTTTGCTGCGTCATCGATGATGACAAGACCTGCCCCTCTCACCTGCCAAGCAACCACGATTTTGTTATAAAGCCTTTGCTTCTAGATACTCCCTATACCCTGTAGCTATGCAAAGCATATGAAAGCATCTTGGAGCACATATTATTTCTCCGAAGATCTAGAAATTAGGTTCATTTATTCTCGCATCTCATATGCAGAAAGAGTTTATGTCATATTTTTTCGCAGCCTCCGCCAATTTTCTTACTATCGACAAAAATATCGATTTTCAAGCATAACTCGAGAACTATAAGATCTATTACCACCAAACTTGGTATTTAGTTACTCGTATACAGTCCAAGCGTATTCCAATTATTGGATATGTCATAACACTTGAGTTATTCAAGAAATTGAGGCACAGCCGCCGTGTGTATATGGAGCAGGTTCAAATGCTCAAAGCTTAATACAGGGTATCTAGTCGACCCGAGCTGACTTTTGGTCATGTTGTGCGGGGACTTTGTTGGCATTCGGCGGGCGCTTAAAATGCCATTAATGCGTGTGTGTCTATTTGTGTTTTTTAAGTTTTTTAGATATAAACAATCTTATCTATGTCAGATTTTCAGCGATTTGATTGATTTGCCCGCAGCGATAAGAACAACCGGTGGCTCGTATAAAAGTGCGTGTTTTCAGAGCGCCCAACTTTAGTATACGAAAAATAGAATCAACATGCAGAAGGTGTTTATTGTGGGGTCGTTGGCGCTCCTTGTGGCCATCTCCAGCGCCAGCGCCGGCTCCATTGCCCAGCAGCTGCATCGGGTGCCGGTCTACAGGCAAAAGAACTTTGTGAAGACACGCGCCAACATTATGACCGAATTTGCACATGTGCGTGCCAAATATCAGGCGCCGATAATCATGGATGCAGCACCAACCACGAGCACGAGCACGAGCACGACGAGCCTTCCATCGATAGGGCTGTCGAATACACTGAATATGGAATACTATGGCGTCATAACCATTGGCACACCGCCTCAAAGCTTCAATGTACTGTTCGACACGGGCTCCTCGAACTTGTGGGTGCCATCGAACCAGTGCCCCAGCGAGGCCTGCATGGATCACAGCCGATACAATCCGGCCGCCTCCACCAGCTATAAGTACAATGGGAAACCGATAACGCTTGTGTACGGAACCGGTAACATGACGGGCTACCTAGCCGTGGATGTGGTCAATGTGAATGGCCTGAATATACCGGATCAGACGTTCAGTCTGGCCACAACGGAACCGGGTACTGACTTAGTGGATGTAAGTTTTGATGGCATACTGGGCATGGCCTATCAGAGTCTGGCCGTAGAGAATGTTGTGCCGCCATTCTACAATATGATCGCATTGGGTCTGGTTGCGAATCCTGTCTTCTCATTCTATTTGGTACGCGATGGCACCTCCGATTTTGGCGGCGAATTGATCTTTGGCGGCTCCGATCATGGCCTGTTTGCGGGCAACATGGTCTATGCGGATGTCAGCGCCCAGGATTATTGGCAATTTCAAGTGGATAACATAACGATGAACGGCCAAGTGTTGTGCAGCCAATGTCAGGCTATTGCCGATACGGGCACCTCCGTCATTTTGGCACCGATGGCAACCTTTAAATTGATCGAGTCTCAACTGGATATCAATTCCGATGGATTATTCGATTGCAGTCGCACATACCCAACGCTTATGCTTGCCATTGGCGGTGTCATCTTTGGCATACCATCCTCGGCTTATATTGTTTCCGAATCGGACAGTGTCTGCACATTGGGCATTGGTGGCGCAACCACCGATTTCTGGATCTTGGGCGATGTCTTTATTGGTCAGTATTATACGGAATTTGATTTGGGCCAGAATCGCATCGGATTCGCATCCGTCGGGGGCTTAAACTATACCGCCGGTGGCGGTGCATCCAGCCTGAAACAGTTGCGCTTCCTGGAATTTGGAGTCTTGTTAGCTCTGCTTTGGAAAGCCTTGGAATATTTTAATTGAGAGATGATATTTCTACAAAATTCTTTACACACGTTTTTTTTTTGTTTTTCTTAAAATTTAATTATAAATCTCTGTGCTGAATCTGATCTGATATGCAGTTATACTATCTGAAATAAACACTATATGTATGGCAGACCTACAATTTTATGGAAAAGAAATCCAAAGCTGGTAATGAAGAAGCACAAAAGAAATAGGAAGGAAGAGAAGAGATGAGAAGAGATGATGAGAGAAGAAAAGAGAAGAGAAGAGAAGAAAAGAGAAGGGAAGATCAAAGTATTTTTTTATATCACAAAAATCACAGGGTAAAAGCTTATCAAGGAGCTTGGTCACAGTAAAGCTCATAGATCTCAGGAGCACAAAAATAACAAAAAACTAAATACTTTAGTTTCAAAGGAAGAAGCGCAGAAGATCGCAATGTAACCGTCTTTGGAAGACTTAGTCTAATATTTAGCTCTGTCTAATCTAACCTAATGAAAAGGCAATAAGGACTCTTAAAGTTGCATTAGATCATGAAGCTCGCAGCGCGTACTTCTCTGGATAATATATCGGCGATCGTGTTTACGATCCAAAGAATGTTAAAGTGAACCTTAAGATCGCGCTGGCTTATAATAATCAACACAGCTCCGAGGATGATCTACACTCAAGCCGGTCGGTCAGCTGATTGAGTTGCATCTGGGAACTGGAACCGTTGCACAAAAACGGACAAATTGCTAAGAAAAAAGCTCAAGATTCTTTTCATCTTCTTGTGGAGTGCGCTTAATTGGGCCGCCGTTTCGCGTGATTTATTGTAAAAAAAGCGCAAGAGAAGTAAAAGATGAAGTTGAAGCTGAAGCTTTGCAGTTACTGAACTTCGAATGCACGCATTATTTATGTGTTGTTATCTGTATACCCTGTAACCATTGAGAAATGTAAGCGGGCAGGCGTCTGACATATAGTTAATATATATATTTTTGATCAGGCTCTGACGATATTTGTTCAAGCCACAGACTTGAAATTTGATAAAGTGTGTAAATTTGCGCAGATCATACGCATTATGATTTCAATTTGCTTTCACGATTTATTCTCCCGCTTGCATAATATCGATAAATATCGATTTTGAGACTTTGTTTTTCTCGAAAATTATAGCAACAAGTTACAAAAGACTTGCAGGTTCTCTATACATTTGTATAGAGCTTAAACTACGCACAGCACATTGAAGTAAGCCTTGAATTGTCCAGCTGGCTGCAGGGTATCTTCTAGTCGTGCACTCTCGGCTAGAGCACGCTTACTGTTGCTTCTTTTTTTGTTTGCGTTCTGCTTGGGGATTAGGAATTATGCGCTGTACGCCGAGCACACTCGCAGCTCCCACACACAAAAAAATATAACTTTGTTGGTGGGCCGCCAACGTTGGAGCCAAAGAACAAACGAGCGAAACTCTAATGAGCGTTGGGGGTTTAATAAGTGCAATTGGCTGGGAAGCTGCAAAGGCTGGATAGCTGCGGAGCTGACCGCTTGGTTAAATTTATTGGCCAAGCAATTGCACATTTCGACGCTCATCAAATACCAATAAAATATCATTTGTTGTAATTTGAGAGCCTGGCCCGTAGGAGCAGGAGGAGGAGGAGGCGGAGGACCACCACAGTTTTGCCTTTGGCTCTGATGAGCCATGGGCTTTAGCTTGGTCGCGAGACTCGAGCCAGGTTTCAGTTGCGAGGATCTGCGATCTGCGATCTTTGATCATGATCTCTCCCTCTCTCTGTCTCGCTCTTTCTCGGAGCAATCTGTCTCATTAGAGTTGCCACAGCGCTTGATTTATTATTGTTCAGCCTGCTGTTGTTGTTGTTCTTGTCGATAAATCACATTAAAATATTTGCTGAATACACAAAAAAGAAGAGATTTGCCCCCAGACACAGTTGGGTCTGTCTTTGGGCATGACAAATCTCTAAACGAAATCAGTTAACAACTTAACTAATGATTATCAATGTGTGTTTAAGCAACACCAACAACAACAACAACAACAACAACAGCGACAACCACAAACAACATTTTCGATAAGCGGCCGCAACAACTTTTTGCCACAGACCACAAAAAGCCGCACAGATCAGCGGCAATCAAACACAGATACAAACACACACAACAAATGAAAACATCTTTGATAACGGCTTTGTCGCTTTGGCTCATCTGCAAATTGTGCGTATTTGCATAGTTAGTCCTTGGGCTACTCAATGCACACAAGCTAAAATGTTAGTATATCACGGGGAAAAAAAGAATGACAGTATTGGAAGAGAAAATAATTTAATAAATAAAAATATATACATAACTACTTTGTCCAATCATGCAAAGAAATCATTACATATAGCTGTATTGATAATATAGCTGCATTAATTAGATGCGTATTTCACAGATGAAGCAATTTTCTATGAAATATGATAGATTTTTCAAGTTTGAACGAACCAAATCTAAATTTGATAAGTTTTAAAGCAATTGTTAAAGCTCTACACTTACAATAAATCAAAGCATGTTGTGCAGAAATCATTAATCGCTGATAATCAATCGGTCAATCAGTTAGTCGTTGTTAAAATAAGTCAGTTTTTCAATTATTCAGTCATCAGGTAATGCTTTCGTTCAGCCAGCTAGTCGGTTATTTATGCATTCAAATAATCATTCATTTATTTATTTGGTTAGTCAGTCATTCATTCAGTCAATCAATTGATCCAGTAGTCTGTCTAGTAATCACACTTAGTCAGTCATTCAATCAGTCAATCAATCAGTCATTCATTCGTTTACTCATTCCATCAGTCGGTCGAGTTATCTCTCATTTCGTTAGTCAGTCTAACATTCATTCAATCAATTATTCCGACATCCAATCTAGTTTTCACTGATTGAGTCGGCCAGTCAGTCATTCATTCAGTCAGTAAGTAAATTAGTCATTCACTAAGTCGGTCATTCATTAAGTCAATCAATCAGATCAATCCATCAGTCAGTCAGTCAGTTGTGTCACCAATTTCCAACATTCAGTCAATCAATCAATCCGTCAGTCTGTCTAGTTATCAGTCATTTAATCAGTCAGTCATTGATTCAGTCAATCAATTGATCCAGTAGTCTGTCTCATAATCACTCATTTAGTCAGTCAGTCATTCTTTAAGTCAATCATTCAATCAGTCATTCATATTCCAATTCTCTTTATATTGTATATTTTAGATTTTTTTTGTCGATTTCAAACTAACCTTTTTCGTCTGGTGTCAGCTCCATTCAAGCACTTGGCAAATCTTTGATGATAATGCCTTGTCTTCAATATATTCGCTTATTGGCAGCTAAATATGCCAAACCCTTAAACGATATCCTTCTCCTCGCTCTGCGCCCTTCGGTCGCTGTCTTGATACCCTTCAAAATATGCAAATTAAATGTAAATAAGTTTGCAACTATTCGGCAAAGCTCTTTGGCGTATCCATCCAGGCACAGATACTGATACAGAACGTATGTCTTCGTCTGTGTTGCCAGATGTTAATGCTCCGATAAGGATGCCAACTTGTTTTATTTTTTGTGCGCGTGTGCGTTTGTGTGTTGTAAAATTTCGCAGTTCTCAGTGCGCAGATAAGACTCGAAAGAGTTGCCTCTCAACAGTTTTCCATTTGGCCTACGAAAAGAAAGGAACGGGCAAAACAAAAGAACAGCTACCTACGCATCACCGAATACTAAATACTCTTGTAGACATTCCGATTTATGATATGTAAGACCTATTCGATAAGGTTTTCAGATATGCAAGGAGAATAAGCCTAATTGGGTAAAGATATCTTGATAAAACAGAAAATTATGTTAAAGAAAAATTAACTTTCGAGCAATTCTTCCTATATGATATGGTAATCAGATGTTTTTAATATTAGTTTTGCTTTCCAAATCATTTTCAAAGAACTTTGTAAAAGTTCATTTCAGACGTGTTTCACAATTTTCTCCAAATCAAATCACATAAGAAGTTAATGCATATGTATTTCACCAATTTTAGAAATTCCACCTGCAGCGGTGGAAACTTGGTGGAAAACGGGTGTATGATAGTTTTTTGTTTTCCATCCGATCGGGCTCAAAATTATTTTCATGTCTTTGTGCAAATTCACTTGGTACTTTTTTCGTCAAATTCACCGCTCTTGGATGCAAAATGCGGGTCCAAGGTTTAATGAACGAAAGTTTGATATACGACTTCAAGATTCTCACCACAGGATGCACGATAAACATATTTTCATGTATGTTAAATTTTTCTTGAGCCGAGAAATGGATGAATTTGCCACAGGCAAGGCCCGCAAATACCCGCTAGTATATGTATAAATATTTAGGGAATCGGTTGTAGTTTCTTCTGTGCGTTACGCAATTGCTCCCAAAACTGATAATACCCTCAGCAAGGGTACATCAACAAGAAGCTAATAAGAAGCACGTAATATCTGATAAAGGGGAGGCTCGAATCGATAAATTCAGTGCCAGTGCTGCCAACTTGTCTCGTTGTCGTTGTTGTACTTGTCGTCGTTGTTGTTGTTGTTTTAGTTGTACTTGTTGTTGTTGTTGTCGTAATAATTGTGAAATTGTATATTATGAACGCAATTAGTGCGGCGTGTGAGTGGCGAGATAAATCAAAAGGATAACTGCGATAAGCAGCGTCGCGAATTGGATCGAGCTTTCCCAACTGCTGCCGCATTTCGATAAACGATAACACGTTTACTTTTCTTCCTCCCCCCCCCCCCTCCCCCCCTCTCATCTTCTTTTTTGTCTTCTTCTCGTTTAAGTGATTACAGCTTATGAGTTATTGTTGTTGCTGCTGCTGCCGCTGCCGTAATTATTATTGATATTATTTACTTTAATCTGCTGCAGCGCGATCTGCAACTTAATTGCAATGGGTAAAAGTGTATGCCCCCCCTTCCCCCCTACCCCGCTTCCATCTTCTCATCTACTTTACTACCCCGCACCCTTTGTGCCGTCGCCTGCCCACTGCCCTTGTGACGCGTGCGGCACACTTTTGCGGGCCGAAAAAAAAAAGTGTAATTTGTAGCAATTTTGTCTTGAATATCTCGAATGAAACTGGGTCAAACT